TTAACCACTACACCATCAGGCCCCCTACGAGGGGGTAGAAAATGGCAATGGAAAGCTCACGGCATTGTGAATCCCCCTGGGACAGGCACATCGACTGCTTCCCCACCCCAACATGCAAGATCAAGCTGGGCCCGCCTGCTGGACACCCGCCCCCACCCCCACCCCCACTTCTGGCTACCTCTCCATCTCCTCCACCACCCCAACCCCCAGGGCCTGGGAAACGGAGCACTTGTTGGGTGGCTGCCAGGTTTTAGTGACAAGGTGACGACAGTGGGCCCATTCTGACGGCTGAGGCAGAGCCCTGGACGTCAGGCACCCAGGTGGAGGTTCAGGGTCCACCCCCCCTGCATTGGGGCCAGCGCCAGGTGGGGTGGGGGGAGGAAGAGAGTGGTTTTCCCATCCCCACTGCACCTGCCCTGCCTGCCCCGGTGGCCGGGGGAGAGTCCCAGAGAGGGAGTCAGGGGAGAGGAAGCCTGAGCAAAGGGATTCCAGGAGGCACTGGACAGCACCCAGTCAGTCTTTGCACCCTTTCCCCTGCCCCCACCTACCCCACCCCCTCCTCACCTTCAGTCCTCGGCCAGGGTCACCACCAAGGCTTCCCAATGTCCTGGTGTCAACATCTACCTGCACCTACACTCTCCTCCTCTGCCTCCCTCCCAGTCCTGGCCAAGACTGCTCCCCAATCATGACTTTGGGCCCCCAAGGCCCAGCTGAGAGCCCCTCCTAGCTACCCCCCCTCACCCCCCACCTATAGGGTCACCAGACAACAGAACCGGACTCAGCCTGAGAGGCTCAGGCTTCCCACGGACCAGGGACAACAGCTACTGTCTGACCAGCCTGGGTCACCCCAGCAAACCTGTGGTCTCCCCTGCCCGCCCACTCCCCAGCAAACCTGGGGTCTCCCCTGCCCACCCTCTCCAGCCTCCCTGCCGTCCTGCTCCTGGTGTCATGGGTGAGACCTCAGAGAGGGCAGAGACCCCTGGGGATGGAACCGAGGGCTTGCCTGTCAGCAGTATTGTAATTAGTGGGGGATGGGGGAGGACTGTGGCTAATGAGACCCCAGGGACGGCAGAGGCAGGCCCAAGGTCCCAGAGGGGCAGGTGACTCAGCAGGAGTGAAGGGAGGCTTAGAGGTTGACAGGGAGCAGCTGCTCACCCTACATGCACACCCAACCCCCACCCGGACACCCACATCTATCCCCCACATACATACATGTACATAGACATCACCAGACAGACACATGCATACACTGACCCACAGAAACAGCGATATCAGGGGGCTTCGGAAAGTTTGTGGGAACATTCCATGATCTTTTCCTTCCATCTCCACAAACTTTTTGAGTCTCTCCTCTAGACCCTCAGAGCAGCCCTCTGGGACAAGGCGGTTAGGAGACTGTCACTCCTTACAGGAGTAGAAAGCTTTGTCTTTCTCCTGCAGACTCGATGGCACTGAGAGAGACATACATACCCAGGGAGCCCCTGGTCACCTAAGGGGGCATGTGCTGGACTGCTAACCTCAAGGTCAGCAGTTCAAAACCACCAGTTCTTCCCAGGGATAAAGATGAGGTCACCATGAGTTAACTTGGAGTCAACGCAAAGGTAGGGAGTGTCAGACCCATTGATTAGAGGACTGCACCTCGCAGGGAGATAGGCAGCGTGAATGAATGAATGAATGAACAAGCGAACCAATGAACAAGCGGATAGCCAAAGGAAAGGATACGCCCAAGTGACCTCGCTCAGGCCAAGCCTGCTCAAAACACCCTTGTGTGTACAATCCCCCTACTAGGCTACACTTTCACTTGACACAGAACTGGGCCTGGGAAACTAGGTCCTCCTCCCCATCTTCCCGCCCCCCACCTAGCCTGGATTCAAGCCAGGTCAGCCAGCCCCACAATTGCTGGGAACCCCTGCCCCCCTCCCCCCGTCTGGGGCCCCTAGTGTCCTCATTAGTCCCTGAGGAACAGAGAAGGCAATATGTGAGGGGCTGCCCTCCAGAGGCACCCCAACCTGTGGCCCTGTGATAAGGCAGATAGGGGTGCATGAGGAAGATGAGGAAGGGGCTTCCTCACAGGGCAGCTGGCTTCTGGGGGTCCTGAAGGAAGATGGGCCAGGCTCCGATGCTCAGGTTCCCCAGCCTGCCCTGCCCAGGACCCTTGACCTCAGACTCCTCTCCTTTTTACTCCTCCATGGGTGGGGTGGGGTGCCAGCTGAGGTCTGGCAGGGGCAGGACTGGCCCGACGCCAGGCCCTAGCTGTGGAGAGAAGTGTGCAGAGTAGAGAGAGACAGCTGTGGACAGAGTGCAGGTGCTATGGGAGAGCAGCTTCCGGGCAGAGGTAGTCAAGTGACTTGGCTGAAGGGTGGGGAGCAGAATGGGTGTGGGGCCACACCAGACGGAAAGCAGTCTGTGCAATATCTCCCAATAGCCCCCCCCCCC